TTGAATAACAACACTTTATTTTAGAAAATAACATTTTCGATATAATTTAAACTTTTATGGTGAATAGATCAAACGAACAAAAACAAAAATTTAATTTTGTTTTGACCACAAATTTGTTGTCATATTTAAAAGAAGTTTAGTATAAAAATACCAAGGTAATTATAGCATAGTGAAAAAAAAACACTTTCTTTAGATATGTAAGAGTAATTACTATTTTTGATTGATTATGTATCCTTCCTCTCACAAATGCAAAATCATAGAATCAAACACCAATTTTTTCCCAAAACTTGACTAATTCAGTACATGATAATGTTAATTTCTTTTAAATAATATAGAAGGAAGTCTTAATATCGCTTCAATAAAAAAAAACATTTTTGAACTTTTATGATTGTAGACGGTCCACAATTGCAATGTTCATGAAAATAAAATTTTTCTTTATTTTTTTTAAATTTAGAATGATTGTTCATAATGGTGGTCTTAGGAAGCGAGTCATATCTTTCATGCTCCACTCGTACCACAACGAATTTGGGTTAATTTTTCAAAAGTAAAATTGTATGTCTATTTTCCTAAAAGTTTGGGTGACGATTGTTTGCATTAGTTTTTAGATTCAGTTTTTGGTTTTTAAATTTAGTTTTAGATTTTTGTTTTTCATTTTTAGTTTTTAGATTTTTGTTTTCGGTTTTCAGTTTTTAGTTTTTAGATTAGGGTTTTGGTTTCTCTGTATTTTTATTTTTTTTCAAAAAATAATCCATACATTGTCTTAAAATAATAATAAAAAACAGTGAAATATTTATAAGTTACCCCTGAAATTTATCAAAAATAAAGTGACTGTTATTTAAAATAAAAATACATTTCCTTGTTTAAATTATTTTATTTTTAAATATTATAATAAATATAAATAGTAATATAGAAAAATTACATAAATTCAAACTATTTAGAATTTTTATTAGATAAATTGTTTTTAGTTTTTGAAACTTAAATTGGAATATTTTTCTGTGTGTTTGTTAGTTATTAAATTTTGATTGGATGAAAAGGTTTTTGAGATAGAAAAAAAAATGTTAAAATATGTAAAATATGTAAAATATTATATTTTTACAATTAAAAATTTTCAAAATTATCATATTTTTGACAGACAATATATTTTACTAAAAATCTAAAGTAATAAATTACTTATGAATAATTCAAATATTTATAAAAGAAGAATACATTTACTTTAGAACATATACATTTAATCAATGTTGATATATGTTATATTAATATTAACAAAAGCTAAGAAAATTTGTATGAAGCTACGTGCTCCTCTACAAAAACTGAAAAATATGGATTCTGGTTTTTTCACATAAAAATCAATGTAGCATGTAAAAACTAGTTTCCCTACTTTAAGGAAAACTCTTTTGCTAAAATCTTGATTGGCTATAGAAAGAGTTTTTGCTTCCATTAATTATAGGGAATCCATTTTATATAAATCTTGATTGGCTAATAAAATGGTTTTTGAGAAACCAAAACCAAAAACCATTTCAAAAACTAGAAACAATCAACACCTTATTGTTTTTTTTTTTTTTTTTGTAAACAATCACCTTATTGTTTTCACCTCACATTAATCAAATGGATTATATGGTTACCTGCTAGATTCACTTAAAAGTTGTTTTTTTTGCCAAATCCCAAATAAAAACAAAAAACTTATATACATATTCTGAAACCAAACATAAGTGTTAAGTTTCAACAAACATCAAATATTGGTTTATGTAAAAAAACACCAAACCATAAATTAGAGTTCTAATGAACAACAAACAACACAAACCACAAATTATTTTACAAACTGAAAACAAATTTCAAAAATTTACATAAAGATCTTCGTTCTTGTTTTTACCATAACATCAAATTTTGTCGTCTATCTTCACATCAACATGCGATATATTCTTGATGATTTGATTAAAGTTATTGATTTGGAACACAAGATCTCCGCTTTCCCACATCAATAACTTTAATCAAATCATCAGGAATATGGCGCATGTTGATGTGAAGATAGACGACAAAATTTGATGTTATGGTAAAAAAAAGAACGAAGATCTTTATGTAAATTTTTGAAATTCGTTTTCAGTTTGTAAAATAACTTATGCTTTGGTGTTTGTTTAGACATAAACCAATATTTGACGTTTGTTGAAACTTAAGACTTATGTTTGGTTTCAGAATATGTGTATAGTTTTTTTTTTTTTTGGTATTTGGAAAAAACAACTTTTAAGTGAATCTAGCAGGTAACCATATAATCCACTTGATTAATGTGAGGTGAAAACGATCCAACTTTTATCAAAACATACATTCAGTTTTACCTTTGAAAAGTTACATGCGCCATATTCCTGATGATTTGATTAAAGTTATTGATGTGGGACACAAGAATTATAATTTATCCACATCTCTTTGCAAATTGTGAGATCCATCACTTAATGTATTATGTCGCCCGAGAAAAAAAAATTGAATCATTGAGACAGCCTGATCTTGCATCTTGTCCTAATCTTCCTGAAAGAGGTCTTCTGGTTTTGACTTTAACAGAGCCTCCTTCATCCCTTGATGGGTTAGCATATCTTTAACTCATTCTTGGTAAAGACCAAAAAATCCTTTTCCATCGAAGCTTAGAACATCACATTGTAGAGAATTTTTCAGGTTATCCTTTACGGTTTGTACAACCTAAAGCTTTGAACCACTTGTTGGGATTTTTCAAGCTCATGTCCAACTCTTTATAAGGCGATTAGTACGATAATCTTCATTTTAGGCCTAAAAGCAAGCACACATGAATTTGATTTTAAATTCCTTTGCAAAAAATCTCGTACTAATCAAAGTTGAATATCTTATAATATATATGAGACATTATTTGTCTAAATTTCTGATATGAGCTTTTTTTTTTACATTCACAACAACACTAAACATACATTATAAGTTCAAGATAAAGAGAAGATTTGCAGTCATCTAAATCATTCATACACAATTTTTTTTATTTTACTTTTTACAATAAATGTGGCATTGTAACATCTTACACAACTCAAAATTCTGGTGTGTAAGAAAAAAAAAACATGTCTGAACAAAAATGTCATTATGAAATTGCAAAACAAAGTTAGTTTTCAATATTTTGTTCTATTTTGTATTTATTATTTATTTTTTACACCAAAATTAAAAACATTAATTTTATAACTAAAAAGAAAAAAGTAAAAAAAAATGACATTTTAACACGGATAACGTAAAAAAAACTATGATATAAAGTTATCATAGTTGTTCTCTCTCTGGCACGGAGTCCAAGGCAACCGCAAAGCTATCTCCACCACCAGAATGAAGGTCTCTTCCCAGCGCAGCTCCTCCTTGGTCTAACAACGAGCCTCTCCACCGCTCCGAGGACGTCTCGCTCACCATCCCAAAGCTTTCCTTCTTCCCTTCCAATGGATTCTTCTGCAACTGTTTCCCCAAGGTCTCTCTTACCGCCTAAACCACCAGATCCAGATCTCAACATGGTGTTTCCAAGGCATCATCCAGTCCCTCTTCTCCCTCCCAGCCCTCCACAGATTATCTTGGTTAGGGATTCTCTCTTCCAAATCCCACCGTCTCACACTGTACCTCTCCATCAAAAGATATCCACTCCGCCGGAACCACCAAAGTTGGATTCTCTAAGTTCAAACTCTGAATCCTGAGGCTGTGAAAGTTCCCTCTTGTTCTTTGGTGTTTCATCATCCGGCTATGGATGTCTTGTCTCCAGACCATCCCCTAAAAGTTAAACCTAGATTTCAACTTTAAAGTCTCCATCCTGGATGACAACAAAAAATGATGGTGATGGTGGTCTTTCTATGTCCGCTAGTGACACTTCCTTCGCCTTAGGGCTTCTATCTCATGTGATATACATGTCTCTATTTGGATGTGTCGACTGACCTTCAATTAGTTCTTGTTTCGACTTCCCTACCACTCCTCCTTGTAAGGTCCTTCATGCTCATCTTAGCTCTTTATTCTCTACTTATTCTGCTACTGTAGAATGGTTTAGACATCTAGCTATGTGGGTGATGTTGGAATTGAGGTCTATGATTTTAATCGGTGATATACTGATGGTTTTAATCTCATTTGGTTCTACCTTTGTGACCTCTAGTAGCATTTATATCGTCTTGGCGCGATTGACTGCAGTATGCAGTTCTTTTACAAGTTTCTTTCTGGATGTTGGTGTTGTGTTCGTTTATCTCTCTTTTTGGTGGCAGTAGAAGAGAAAATTATTGTCATCTTTATCCTGATGAATATGGATGTGGCAGGTTATGATTTTCCGCTGGTCCCTCGTTTGAATCAGTATTCTCTCCTAATATTTCCTCCTATGGAGTGAATTGGATGTACAAGTTTCGTTAGTATTGCAAAGATCTTCCTCCCATCGAATACTCTTCTCTGCGTATGGTGCAGTGTGTATGGTTTTACGGGTTACACTTGATATGGTCTTTGAAGAAGCTTATGATGTTGTTGCGATATGATTTATATGGTTCTTTTTGTGATTTGTATCGTCATTCTATCTCCTATGTCATTGTTGTTGTTGTTTGTTTGGCTGTCAATAGCCCTTTTGTATCTTCTTTGTTAGAGTGTAAACATATTTAAAATTAATGCAAGTTTTTTTTTTGGTAAACAAGATTAATGGAAGTTTGGTTTGATAAAAAAAAATACGGATAACGTATAGAATACAGCAAAATAAACGTGAAAAAATCAACCAACCCAAAAGAACAAAATACACGTGAAAAACCCTATCAGGATAACTAACCAAAAATAAATAGAAATATCACGAGAATCCGTTTTTGATATAACTCTACATTTCTAGTATGGTTTGTATGAGTGTTAGTTGCGTACACGAAAGTTTTGACCGAGACTTCACAGAAATATACTTACCAAAAGAGGAAATGATTCCTGCCTATCCACAATGTTTTTTTTTTTTTTTGTGAACGGCTTCCACAATGCGCAATGTCCAAAATAACATTTTGACGTTGATGGATGCCAAATAAGTTTGAAAGATGTAGATGAATTAGCTAAAATTGCTAGAGAAAGAAACAATCATATGTAATCACTTGGCCTTTTTCATAATAAGTTTGAGATTTAAAACTGATAAAAGAGTATACTCTTATATGAAAGCATCGTAGGTAACATTTCCCAAATAAGTAATTAAAAAAAAGCATTTTCCATTCTCTTTCCATATATATATAATCTTGTTTTTCAAGTCACCTGAGAACCGCCTCCGTTGCCGGCGGCCTTACGAGCCATAGCTTCGGTGACAGTCGCCAATTTCTGCAGATTGAGTTTAACGACCGTATCAGCGAACATACGCGTATCCTCTTCCGAGTTCCCTTCCGGCATATCCACAACGTACGACTCAAGAACCACCGTCCACACCCGTCTCTCCTTCTCGAACCTGTGCACCGTCGTCACCGATTTATAATTCACCAGCCTATGCTCTCCTCCGATGATGCTAAACCCTGTCACTCGCCTCTCGTCGTCGAGTATGTCAAGCCTCTCCGTCGACGTGTTCGCCGGCAATCCACTGATCACGATCACGTCGCGCGTGCATCCAACACGCATCTCGAAGCCCTCTTGGACGGAGCAGGATTTGATGAAGTGTTTGTAGGTCTGCGGTTTGTCGAACTGACGGACGACTGACCATACGATCTCTGGAGGCGCGTGGATTCGCTGGGCGTGGAGTGAAGAGCAGCTTCCCGGGCCGAGGTTGTATGTGTGGAACTCGGCGATGGATTGCGCGAGCTCGGATCTTTCTTCTTGAGTTAACTGGGAAGGCATGGTAATGGTTCTTTATGTGTTTATACGACCTATGAGTTACATGTAAGAATCACATCTGAAAGAAAATAAATCGAAGGAGAAGAAGACAGTAACTAGAAGTATGTTTATTAAGACACAAGTAGATCTAGGTTTATGGAGCGCTTACCAGAACAGAAGAGCATAAGCAGTTTTTGATGAATATTTCTTCTCATATAACAAATACCCTTTTATTTAATTTACTATTACCACTCTCTCCTCTAAAAATGGTATCTCAACGTACAATTTGATTTAATAATGTCAGATTTAGATCTCTTCACAGCTAATTAACGAAAGAAATTTTTTTTGACGTTAACTATGTTAATCATTAAAGTAGGTGTGTGCTAAAACATATCGATCTTTTAATTGGCTCACCATCATCAACTTCGATATCAAAAGTACATGTAATATTTTTATTCATCCTTTGTTTTCTTTTTTTTTTTGCGTATAATAGATTTTGGTACTGCTTTTTTAGTGAAATAATAAATGTTGATTTATTTTATTGTCGGCGTTTAAAACCAAGTTGGCAACTTGCAAAAATTTAATCAAGTTGGCAACTTGCACCAGCATCACCTTTGCCACAATTAGAAGAAATCGATTTTTAAAGTATGCGAAATAGAATTAGTCCAAATAGAATATGCAAATAGAAAAGAAAAGAAAATAGTAGGCCTGGACATTCGGATATCCTTTCGGTTATAAATACGCCGATCACGTATCAGTATTCTTTGGGTTTTGAAAAATAGTCTCATTCAAGTATTACATAAAATCGGGTTGGATTCGAGTCGGATCCTCCCGGTTACGGGTGGGTTCAGATTTTAACCAAAATAATCAAAATATTCAATTTTCTTCGAGCATTTTATATCTAAACTACTAAAACTTATTTAAAATAAATTAAAATTTCAATAATACTCAATATAGAGTTCAAATTGGTTATTTGTTTATTCGAAAATAACCATAAATATAATATTATTTGGGCACTGTGTATCCAAAACATCAATTTCTATCTTTAAATATCCAAAATAATTAATAAGTTTGATATATAATTTTAATTTTAGGTATTACTATTAGTAAAGGTATAATGATAAATATTATTTTTATATATATTTATATGTTTGGATATGTTTATATACTCATTCGGTTTTTGGTACAGATTGAGTTTGGTTTCGGTTTTTCAGATTTTGAAAAAAGTCCTTTTCGAATATTTAGGTTATATCCAATCGGATTCAATATCCTAATTTTTGGGTCCGTTTCGGATTAATACTTCGAATACAGATATTATGCCCAGCCCTAGAAAATAATACAAATAAATATATTTTTTTGACGAGTAAGCTAGCCGATGTCCAACTAATATATCTGTACTCCTACTCTGAATTTTTAATGACACTTCGATCCAGTGGAATTTGATAATATATATATATATATATATATATATATATATTAGTTTATGTTGTACATATAATAAAATATTGTAAGTTGTAATTGCCGTCCATAATGGATCGCCCACAACAATCTCTAATAAAAAAATAAAAAAGAACAAATTATGAGATGTATTTAAGTGGGGCACAGGCTGACACTAGTCAGTGTCAAGGTGGGCTGAATATTCGCATGTAAATATATAACTAGATGTTTTATCCATTAAATTTGATTCGATTCCTTTCGAATTAATCCAAACATTCTATATATCCATAAGTTTACGAAGAAAAATAAATACTAAAAATCAATATCTATTAAAATAAAAAAAATTACAAATACTAAAATTTTGGGAAGTAGATATCCACATTGATCGGTATTATATCTTGTCCGGAAACTCACTAAACGTAATGCGTGCGGCTGACCGTCGCCTAACACGAAATCAAGAAATCAAAAATTATTTAGAGATTAATCGGTGATTTTTTATTAAGTATTTTGCCTATAAACATATATAAATTAATTTAATTTGCACTAAATACATAGCGGTTGAACCTTCCCGAGTGGTTTGTGTCATTCATAATCCTCTTCCTGCTCTTGGGTTCGAGCCAGAAGAGGATACTTTTTTTTTAACTTTTTATTATTTTTAGGTTTAATGAAGTCAAATGACGAATACATCTTTGTCTTCAACCTTCTTCTGCGATCTTCTAGACCTAACAAGCAGCTGTTTTCATTTTTTTTTTTTGCGATTTCACCATTTTAAGAACCTATCTTGTGGGATTCAACTTCATATAGAAGATCTATAAGGTACAATCTTAGTTCTAACTAAATTTTTTGATATTTTCAAACTTTTTCAGATTTGAATAAAACGATTTCTACAAATTAAACGGCGATTTCTCTATTTTTCTAGTTAACGCGGTCATTAAACGGCTCAGCGCCTAAACACACTGATCACCTCCATTTCGCTACGGTGACCTTCTGATTTGCATTTAATTGGATGAGTAATCGGCAACTCGGCCGAGTTTTAGAACAAGGGTATTATATAAATACATATATATATATATTTTAATTAGATTTAAAATTTTGAAATATACAAAATTATATAATTATTATCCTTACATATGATTTGATAAATTCTATTCACATCATTACTTGTATAAAAGTATTACAAGAAAAGAGGAGAAAAACTTATGAAAATTATAATTTTTTTAAGCTTTGTATTATTATAACTGCTAACTAAGTTTTAAAAAATGAAAAAATATGTAGATTTACTACTTTTTTAATTTTAATTTTATATATTATGCAAAAAATATTTTACAAAATAAAATTGTATCCAATTTGTAAGATTATTTGTATTAATCAAAGTAAATAAGATATTCGTTAGTATTCGTAAATATCCATAAATATATATTTATTTTTCGGATATCCGCTTTTCTGTATATCCATATTTTTCCGAATAAAAAAAAAAAAAATATCCATAACATACGAGCAAATCACAAATACCTTTAAGATTTCAGATATCCGATTCGTGCCCAAGACAGCACAAACATTTTAAATCTTTCTGGAAAAGGGAACGAGAGGTCGAGAGCCTATCTTCATACATACACTTCCACATACTCCGTTTTTTTTTTTGTAATAAATATCATTCTAAGTTTATTCACCACAAACATTAAAATTTCTGAATATATTTTACATTTATGTAAATATATAATTTTAACTTTAATTATAACTTTTTGAAGATTTATCAAAATTAGATATTTAAAATAAAATAAATTAGACAATTTAAATTGTTAACTTTAACTATAACTTTTTGATCAATTATCAAAAATTAGAGATGCAAAATAAAAAATAGACAAATTTGCAAATTTGTACTTACATTATGTTGATTTAACAGATTTAGATGAGTTTAGAGTGATTTAAAACGATTTAGAATGATTTAACCCAATCTGAATCATATAAATAAAATTTTATGAAAATAGTTTCAAATAAAACTGGTTTGCTATCTATATCGATTTTAGAACCATGTAAAAACTTATAAATTGTACATTAACAAATAAAGTTGTACAAACAGTTGAATGATACTTATACGCATTTTACTGAAGACTTGACCTATCGACGGGTTCAATATAAGATTTTTTTTTTACTTTTCCTTGTTTTCGGTTTGGTATTGTCTCAAATTCGACCAAGACGTACTTTGACCCATATATATTGTTTTACAGCTATTATTTAGGTTAAGATTTCTTTTACATTGGATTTTACTTTTCTCTAGAGATTTATAAGCTTTTTTTTTTGGTAGGAGGCAGGAGACAGAGTCTCCTACTTTTATTCAAACTTCAAAAAAAAAAACAAGTTACGCGCAAACTCTTCGAGATCTAGTGACCTCATTAACGTCCTCCGTAAACAAAGAAACAACACCCTCAGGAACAGCCTCCAAAAGATGTAAACCAAGTGGTAAAGAAAACGCATAGTTAGCTAACCCATCCGCAAGATGGTTTGCCTCCCTATACACATGAGAAATTTTGACTGACCAGTCTCTGGATATAAAGCCATAGCACAGATGTACTAGGAATGACAGAGGATTCGACTCTTGGATCCCTGTCTTGAAAAAACCCACAACACTCTCGGAATCAACCTCCACTTCCAATCTTCGAATACCACGGTTCCATGCTATGCACAGTCCATAGTATACTCCCCACAGCTCCGCCAACGCCGCCGAACAAATGCCAATATTAAGTGCGAAACCTTCCTGCCACTCGCCATATTCATCCCTCACAACGCCACCCGCTGTAGCTGGACCAGGGTTTCCTCTAGAGGCACCATCTGTATTCAGTTTAAACCAACCCTCCCCCGGTTTCACCCATGAGATCTGTTTCTCCACACGTTCCCGGGCCAGCAAAGTTCCACTAAGTTTTGCATTTGCGCTCATTACTTCTTGTGCCTTTTCTCTAAGAAACTGCACCCTATTCTGACATTTACCTTCCTCACCAAAAACATAGCTACACCTCCATTTCCAACACCACCACACCGTTAGTGCAAAGAGTGTAGGCCATAGGTCTCTTCGCTTTGCCTTTCCCCCTCCAAGATTCTCATAAAGCCATTCCATCAGAGATTGATTCAAGAATCTTTGTTGCTTACTTAGAGGTACTAAACGCGTCCATAACCCCAAAGATGCCGGACAATCCCGAAGGACGTGAAGAATAGTTTCATATCCACCCTTACACAAAGGACACACTCCATTCTCAGTCAAGTGTCTTCGTTTTCTTTCCATATTTGTCATGATTGCTTGGTGAGTTACCAGCCATAAAAATACACGCACTCTTTCAGGAGCAACCACCCGCCACACTTGATGATAAAAGTCCTCCATGTTCGGTTTCAGTTCAGCATCCTTGGTTAAGAATTTATAAGCTGATGTCACCGTAAAAGCTCCATCTTTACTTGCACCCCACGACAATCTATCACATTTTCCACTGAACTCATCAATTACTAAGGAGGCCAATCTGAGACGATTATCAACTGACATATATGGTTCAACCCTCTGAATTAACCAGCCATTACCACTCTGCCAAAGATCCCGAGCTCTCACTTGCACTAAGTTTTCCGGAATCTCTACCAAACTTAACTTCTCGAGTGGTTCTTGCAACAACCACTTATCCTTCCAAAAACGAACCTGGCGTCCATCTCCCAGAACCCAAGATAAACCCGGGATAACAACCTGTTGGAGCCCCAGAACAATACTCCTCCAAGTCGATGACCACGTTCCTTGATCTACCAGCCATGATTGATCTTCTACTTCCCCTACGCGGAATTTGTTTCTCAGAATCTTAACCCATAAACCTTCTTGCGTGTTTAACAGCCTCCAACCCAACTTAGCTAGTAGAGAAATATTCATTTCTTTCGCTAATCTTATTCCAAGCCCTCCCTCTGCTTTGGGCTTGCTGATTTTTTCCCACGAGACCAGATGTTG